TGGATCTCCTTCATTAACAGCAATGGGCTCCAAATACCTTCCCGTACTTATTATTACCTGGCTTTAATGGATAATGAAACAGTGGCAGAATATTGCTAACACCTGAAGGGTGTCTAATGGAGAAGACGACTGAAAGGAAAGCGCTCCCCTCCCTTCATCGGGGGATTTAAAGGCATCGGGCTCCTTTGCTGGCGGGGTGAGGATGGGCTCCGTACCTGCAAAGCTACCAGCATCCGCAATGACCCACGGCAGCGGTTACATTAGCCAAGGGTGTAGCACCAAGCACCCGCTCTGGACCCTGCTTCCGTCGTGGAGCCATGCAATGGGGTGCCAGGGGAGAGACCCCGCGTGCCCCCCTGACCCTGGGGATGCAGCGACCCTGAGCATCCCCAAGGACCACTGCGCCGCAGGAGAGTGGCTTGCTCTCCTGCCCCTGCTGAGGGTCCCGCATCCCACCGGTGTGGGGGGGCAGCCCTGCCTGCACGCGATGTTTATTTCATGTCTCGCAGCGTTAAATCATAGCAGACATGCAATTCGGGGGAGCGTGAGGCTCCGTAATGGGCGGCCTCGGGCGCGTGATGGGGCCGGGGCCGGCAGGCAGCCGTGCTGCCAGGGCTCCTCCGCGATGCTTTATTGCTTTTGACGCTCCAAACGCGCTCTGAAAGGCGAGTCCTGGCAGCCCGCAGGAGGGCTGCTTCCCTCTCCTGCCTGCTCCGCACGGGCAAGTGCTGCGTGCCGCCACAGCTGAGACCTCCCTCCCCGTCCCACCGTGGTCCCCAGCCCGGCTGCAGCATCCCATCCTGCACAGAGCTCGGTGGCACGCCTGCGGTCCCCGGCAAGTCCCACGGCCCAGGGCGGGAGCTGCCGCGGCTAACGCTGCCGCGGGAATAACACCCGCACAGGGCTTGGTTATGTTCCCGGTAAGCGCAGGTCGGGGCGATGGGGGATGCTGAGCATCGCTGGCCCCCTCACAGAGTGGGGACGCTGAGCATCGTTCGTCCCATCGCGTCGCAGGGACCTTGTGCCTGTACTCTGCCCTCTGGGATCTTCCCAGCCTCCGAGATCACCGTAGCTCCTGGCTAAGCACCAGCTGAAGAAGTTTGCTGCTTGCCTAGCCAAGGTACCCGCTTCTCAGTGCGGCTGCCCTAGGAAAAAGCCCTTAGTCTCCATCCCAGCGCAGAGATGCTGCTGCGCCCAGCTGCAGGCAGAGCCCGGGCAGGATGCGGGGCTGAGCCGTGGGAAGCCCCAGACGCCGAGCGCTTGGATTCCCAGAAAAGCAATTACCGCGCAGCAGATTACAGGGCTAATAAAATCCCATTACGCCATTTCGGAAAGTAAATCTGATCCGGGCGCTGCCGATTGATATCAGCTGTCCCACAAGAAGTCCCGCAAGAGCCCCCTGCGCGCGCGCATTATACGAGGCTATAATAGATCACGCTAATTAGATATCCGATAACAGGAGGGCTGATAGGAACTACATTAAAATCTCTTTAAGATGAAGACGTAAAACCCAAGGGAGAAAAGTCAGAGTTAATGATGCTGCAGCCGAGGCTCCACTTGAGCGGTCCTCGCCCCCTCAGCCGCATCCTGCCTGCCGTGGATGCGGGGGGCTGGAGGAGAGGGGGCAGAGCAGGGCACGGTCCCCAGCGCCGCCGCGGCGCTGCCCGTGATTTTCATTACCCAGATTCAATAAGGGGAAAGAGCTCCGAGCTGCCTGCGCTCCCCAGGAGGTGACTTGCCAGCCGCTAACGGAGCCGAGAAATCAAATTAGCCCTGGCTCTGCTCTCGCTCTCTCCCTGACACCGCTGTTGGCAGCCGAGGGGGAGTTCATCAGGGCCGTGCACTAATTCTTATCTCGTTTAAGTGACTCCACGCTGCCATCTGATGCGATTTGCTCTGCGCCGCCGCCGCGGGCTCCGGTCCCTGCCCACCGCTTCCTCAGTGCTTCCAGCAGCCGGCAGCTTCGTGGGGGCACGGGCACCTACAACGCACATAAATGCAGACATACGTACGTGAATATATAAGATTATAGGGACTGGGGGTCGGGGTGAGGCTCCCCCACCAGACGGGGGGACGTTGCCTTACCCCAAGGACGTGATGCTCGGACACGGAGGGAAGGATGCTGCGGCCTGAGCAGGGTACCAGCCCATGGGCGGGCGCTGAACAAATTTTTGCTCTCAGTCATACAGGACCAGCCTTTGCTTATAGTCTTGTTTGCCCAAAGGTGTTGAATATTTGGGGAAACCGAAACTGGTAAGACGTGCTTTCATTTGCTGAAATTTGCATGCAAATGCAAATTGCTGCAATGAAAATAGACCCTCATCTGGGTTCACGTTGGAGGCCATTGGGGAAATCTTGCTGCCCCCAGGCAGGGGTGCAAAAGGCCAGCAGGCAGCACGTGCTGCCTGCAACCTGCATCTGGCAGCGTGTCCATCTCCGGCGGGATGGATCCGCCCTGCCATAGGGTGTGAAGGGAAGCCCGGTACCTCCGGAGCCCCCACTCCCTGCTGATGGGAGCCCACTCTGTGCCAGTGCCATGTCTCTGTAACCTCCCGGGACAGACCACCCCATCTCAGAGGGTTTCCCCCTGACTTTCTGACCACTGACGAGCTCCTGGTGCAGCCCTGGCATCTGCAGCATCCTCTCCCCCCCCTGCCGTGCCCCCTGCTCCTGCTGCACGCAGGCACGATGCTTGCATCCCCAAAACCTGCTTTTCCATGGCTAGGCGCCTGGGCAGGGGACGGGGGAGCCCCGGGGGAGCCGGCGGGGTGGGTTGCTCTCACATCCTCCCAGCCTGAAACTTGATGCAGACTGATCGCGAGATTAATTGGGCGTTCTCAAAAACCCGACGGCGGGGGGAAAGCGAGCAAGGAGTGCTGCCTGCCTCCCTGCTCGGGTTCACTCCTCTGCGGAGCCGGCAGGCTAGGGAGGTGGAGAGGAGGGAGGCAGCGGCCGGGGGGCGGGCGAGGCCAAACGGTCTCGCCTCGACGCGGCAGAGCCAAGGTAAGGCGGGGGGCCCCGCGGGCAGGGCTGGGGGGCTGGGGCAGAGCTCCCCGTACCGAAGGGCATGGTGTGATACCTTCCTAAAACCCGAGCAGCACTGTACGGCATGCAAAGGCTGCTTTTTATAGAGACCTTAACGCTATTGAAAATCAACGTACCTGGGAGAAGCCAAGTGTGGGAAACCTCTTCTGCAAGAGCCCGGAGGCGCTGCCTGCCTGGGCAACGCAGGCTGAACGCCCGCAGCAAGGTAATGCGGCGTTTGAACCCAGCTCTGCGTCATGGGCTCATCGGTACGGGGCTTCGAAGTACTCTGGAAACGTGCAGGGTCCAAGCCCTGAGGATATATATAGAGAGAAACAGGGTGATCTCCTGCCTGCCTGCCTGCATCCCTCTGTCTGGAAGCTGCTGCCTGAGCCCTCCACCCGATAAAGGGATTTCTCTAATATAATGTTTCATCCCTCACGACGCAGAGCTGGGTTTTGGGGACGACAGCGCGCAGAAGCGATGCTGTGCCTATGGTTTGTAATCTCAGCTCCGCACGGCACAAAACCGACTGCCAAAATGTTCACAAGCTATCATTATTATTTTCTCGTTTAACCTTCCTGGGCAATAGTAGAAAAATCATTGTGCTGTTTTGCACCAGCGCAGCTGAAAGCTTTCAGCAGGTTTGTAACTCGGATCTTTGGACCGGTCAGATAGACAGCCCCTCTCATCGGGGCTTCGTTCCCGACTCCCAAACCTTCTCCCGCAGTTAGCCCGACAGAGGTGCCAGAAGAGGAGCGGGAGCAATGAGTCTCCCGCCTTAGCGATGCCGGAGGTAAGGGGGTAGGAAGGTCTGTGCAGACACACACCCATGTGCCAGGGCTGTGCCGAGTTGCACCAGGTGAGTTGCCGGCACAGGTCTGGGGCCGGGCAGACCGGCACGGTGTCCATAGCAGATGCACGAAGCGGCTGGGGCAAACCCAGCCCAGTCCTCCCTCTGCAAAGCCAGAGCAACCCGACCCAGAGCTCGGCGGGTGCGAGGAGGAGGAGGAGGAGAGGGTGTGTGAGGTGGAGCACGGGCACGAGGAGGAGGAGAGGGTGCGAGGAGGAGCGCGGGCACGAGCCAGCTGCCACCAGCTGCAGCAGGAAAGGCTGCTTGGCCCCAGCCATGATGACAGCAGCGCCTGCTTTCCTCCCCTCGCCACCCCCCCAGCTGCCTCCATCAGAGCATGCCTGCCTGGGCGAGGGCCATGCCCCCGGCCGGCTCCCCGGCATTACCGATCGCCTGCAGACTTGGAGGGGCTGAGGCTGCTGGTTTGGGGTTTTTTTTTCGCTTAAAAGACAGATTAAAGTTCCCTTCCCGGCAGCTTTTCCCAAGTTCCCGCAGATCTATTCCAAATAGTCCCTTTCATTACGCGGGAATCGGACGCCGGGGCTGGGCGTGCTGCAGAGCAAAGCCACGAGTGCGGCCCTGCTGCCCTGGCTCGGGGGGGGCGTCGCCGGCTGCCTTGCAGCGAGGACCGCGGTGGCGGCGGGAACCTG